AATATTTACACCGCTACACTCCCAACTCCACCGTTACACTAAAGCGTATTACTCACGGTCCGTCCGCCCACTACCTAGCTCCTCGAACCCTCTAATGCCATTCTTGAACAAGCCATCTTTGGCCCAAAGCTTCTCTTCTTCTTCAAGTCACTCCTTGACTCGTGGCAGAGATAATGGTTCTTCTGTTGTTGTTTATACTAAAAGGCCCCGGATTCTAGGTTCGCCTTGGGCCCCTGAAAACTCAGGACCGACCCTGAATGCATCTGAGGGCTCGCATCCTCATCCGCATCCCGATTATGTCTATAATGCTATAGATTAGATTATATGACATGAATTAGTTGCTTACCTTTGTAGCTCGCACGCACGTACACCGTCGTTTTCTGATAATTGCTAGCTTACATTGGTAGTATGCAGATATTGGACATACTGTTCATACCATCAGACCATATTCAGAATCATCTATTATGGTCGTGATTTTGCAATTATCCTAAAACAAAATATTGTATTGTACAAAAATCACATACATAGATTCTATTTTTGCGAGGTGCTATATGTTTTCTTTTCACAAACAGTGCTTTCATTGGTCAGTTATTATACATTTTTCATCCCAAGAAAGGTATTATATTACTCTAATCTCAAACAATCACCTACTCCCTCCATAAACTAATATAAGAGTGTTTAGGTCACTACTTTAGTGATCTAAACACTCTTATATTAGTTTACAGAGGGAGTACTATGCTACAATTTCTGTTCTTATGATGTTGTTGCATTTTGATACTATACTGTACAAAAATCACATACGTAGCCATTGGAAGTATATATACTTATGATGTTGTTGCATTTTGCAAGTATTGAGTAATAAATGAACCAGTGGTTCGTCGTATCAAATTGTGAGATGAAATTTGTGTTTCTTTGTGACCTATCTTACATCAAAGACCGCATGGAGTTTGAAGCCAATTTCAAATGACTGGTGAACATATGTCTTATTCTCAGAAATACAATGAACAAGAAATTATAGCCATTTGTTTTAGTGGAGAAGACCGTGTTGTACTATTTCCTTACTACTCCCCATTTTAAATCTTTCCATATTTCCTTTGCAGCATAAGAATTTAGTGGTACATTTCTTGCACTGAATTTCTAACCACAGAAATTTGAGTTGCAACTATACTCCTTATTTTTTACATTTATTCAAACACTATCTCAAGTCTATGCTAATCTTTCGAAAACTGAATAGTTCTTTAAAGTAACAATTCATGAAACAAGTTGTGTTGTGGCAGCACACATGCACCTTTTTATGTACTATGCATTTTTTTTAGAAAAAGAGGATGACCCCCGGCCTCTGCAGCTGGGAGATGCATACGGCCACTTTATTGATTATTCTCGAGGACCTTACAAAGTATTACAACAATATGCTTGAATCCGCCATCTTGGCAACATATGTCACTACTCCTATCCATATGATGAAGGAGTGCTACCTGGGCCACATACCCGGTCTACTCACCTAAGCCTATCATCAAAAGCCAGAAGCCCCAGCCGAGCCACATACCGGGTTTGGGGCATAAACTGGTCTGACGCACTCACATGTGTCGTCGCCGCCATCTTCCACGGGTCCGTCTTCAGAGCAGATATTGAGACTTCTACCTTGTCAGGCCACTCTGTCATCGATGCCCACCTTGACGCCAGACAACTACCTCCACCTGCGCGAGTCCATCACCGCGCATCGGACGCCGAGTCTCCACTGCACCACGCCGCCGAGATCCGCCGTCATCAATGTGAAGGATGAAGTACCGCTCCACCAAAAAAGGCGCCCGCTGGTCCCTGGATCCCGTGTACACCTCCAAGAATGACGCCCCCAAGGAGGAAACGACACCAACGCGCCGCCGTCATCCGATCAACTGATCTAGGGTTCCCCCGGAGGTAGCGGATAGAGGTCTAGAGCTTCTCCATGGCGATGCCTTCAAGAAGGTAATGACACCACAGGGTGCCGCCAACGCCGGTCTTGGCATCAAGCCAAGCACAAGGTTTTCACCCGGATCCGCTCGAAGAATCTCCATCACGTATTGTGCGCACGGGTCGCCGCCGATCTGAGCCGCCGCACATGGCGCAGGCCGCACCGGCCAGATCAGATCTGTCCGAAGGGCTCAACCCGCATGGTGCCGACCCAACCACCAGGCCCTCCATGCCGCCACCGCCGATCCGAGGTCAGATGGTGTGTCGCCGCAGACCCGGCCGCCGCCGCCGAACACCGCCACGCAGCCCGAGACAGGGCCGGCTGCCGCACCCCACCATCGCCGCCCTTGGCCGAGGCAGCCGCCATGCCGCCGCCGGAAGGCAGGCCCACCGCGCCGCCAGGCCAGATCGGTCGTGCCACCCACGCCGCAGGGCTCCGCACCGCCCGCACGGCGCAGGCAAGAGGGAAGACCCCCGCCACCGCCATCAGCCCCGGGCTATAGCCGGCGGCGTCCTTCGGCGGCGGAGGAGGGAGGGGAGGACGGATGGGGACCCCCGGCAGTTAGGGTTTTAGATCCCGCCCGAGTCGCCATATGGCCTGAATACGGTCTGATGGTATGAACAGTATGTCCAATATCTGCATACTAATTTCTTCCTATGTGGTACATACGGTTAAATATTGGGAATCTGATGATTATTTGCTCTGTTTTTAGTTTTATTTTATTTAACTTCTCTTACAGCAATCAAATCGGATTGAGAACATCACACAACAGGTAAACATTCTTTCTATAATGATATTGAGAAAATACATCTTTCTTTCATTCAGATAGTTTTCATCAAGAGGATATACTGTGATGTTATTTCTGATTAATAACTTTTTGGCAAAATTTTAAGATAAGCCTTTCTGAAGAAAATAAAGAAAATGGTGGCATTTTGGGTTTTGAAGATGTAAAAAAAATTGCTTGTAAAGGGAACTATTTGATGTTTATCAACGCTTGAAGACATCAAGTGAAGTTAGTCTTGCCATTCCTACAACTCAGATTCATAATAAATGTATGCACGAAGTTGCAGAGGAATGTATATGTTGTGAATAGGTCGTTCGCTTCCTCGCCTCCTGGGTTTCCCTTCCTATACAGTCGTTCCACATATCTCAGTTGATCCATCTCATCAAGTAGTAATAACTTACAAAAAAGCAAAACGGGGTAATAATTTTTCTTTCCTTCTCAACCGATTAATCTCAATCACAACTTTCCATTCCTTCTCAACTGATTCGTCTCAACCAAGTAATATGTCCCCCCAAAAAATCAAGTAATACGTGGAGATAGAGGAAATAAAAAAATGATTCATATCTTCCTTGGGTACTTCTGGAGAGAGCCCAATAGTTTAAAAGGAATTGAATATTTTGATAAAAGGAAATAGCCATCACGTTCACTTGGAAAGTAAGAAGAGTACAAAAAGGAAAGAAAGAAAACAGAGGCATGTACCAACATGTTGTTATATTTGCACCCTGTGGTCGCGTGTGCCCTCGTGTACCAGCGACGTTCGCCATTACCACGTGTCATCTTTTTCTTTTTTGTGGGGATTTTCTGTGGCTTCTCTTTCCCTTAAAAAGGGAAAGAATTCTCTTTCACTGCATTGCTTACGTATACATGCATGGCTGCTGTGTTGTAAATGTTGATGGGATTTCATGTACATATACAATTTTAAATGTTATACACATGGCTTTTGGTCATGTTCTTATGATCTAACGACTTCGCTTCTAATTCATTCATGCTTTAAGAATGCATGCAGTTTTCTGACTGCTTGTGAATGAACCCCTGATCTTTGTGACTTTGTGGTAAAAAAATCAATATTATTTTTGTATTGTTATATCAAGTAGGTTTTTTATAGTGTCAATGGTAGATAGATCTGCAAGAACAGTATTTGCTCAAAATTACCATTTATCTTCATATTGAAATGTGATGTGTGTGTTTAAAATGTCATTTTATTCTAGATGTTGAGTTGACAAAAAAGCTTCCCAATATGCGATAATTTGGGATGAACTCAAATCTTTATTTTTCCTAATACGAATTATCCTCCCTTATAGAAAATTATTTTGAGTAAACTTCTCTTTATTGTAGACATATATTGATAATTAATCAGTCCCGCCATATAGAATGTTTATTGTGTGGAATGTGCGTCCGAATCTTGACCGAAGCTATAAAGAGATTATCTTCAAAATTGATTGCACGGAGTATGAGATATTGCGCTGAATTCTCATTTCTCGTTAGAAATTTAGTACTCCCTTCGATTCATATTACATGTCACTAAAATGGATGTATATAAAAATGGACTACCTGTAATATGGATCAGGGAGTCCATTTTTATTGTCCTTATTCAGAACATGTACACAAGCCATTAATAATCTAAGAGGATGTAAAACCGGGGAAAATTATCATAGTTGAATAAGAAACTAAGTAATGTCGTGCAAGTTGTAGGTGGGGAAATAGGAGATAAAAGCATGGTTGGAGGAACGAAGTCGCGTGGTGGCTAGAACGAGAAAGTGGGGTTGAAAGACGATGAGGAGATGTGTTTATCTATAACATCACAACCATGAGATATCGTCCCATGCGAATAGCCTTTAAATTCGCATCACGTAAAATTTCTCTTTGTATATATATTTTGTTAGTCCGTGGCAATCCACGGACACTTAGCTAGAGTAGTATATTAGTATCCCAGTGTCGCAGCAGCTGCCTTTCTTCGTCTTCTTCCTCCTGGCCCGCACGCACGAGGCCACCAACCCACCTTCGTGCCCACCCGGCCAAGTCCGGCGGTCAACACAACCATCCCGGTCACAGCCCACACCAAATCTCCATCGCCACCCACCCTGCAGGCGCCACCTATTTATAATCCCTCCCTCTTCCTCCATTTCCATCCAAGAAGAGCATCCCCCACCTCTCCTACTCCAACGAGCTCTTCTCTCCCAAGGCGGCTCCAGTCCACACATTCATCCAGCTGCTCCAGCTCGAGCTGCTCCATCGAGACTCCAAGACGCAGCCTCGACCAAACCAATGGCGGGCAACGGCAACGACGGTCTGTGCGTGGCCAAGCCGCGGAGCGCTGCTGACCCGCTCAACTGGGGGAAAGCGGCGGGGGAGCTGTCGGGCAGCCATCTGGATGCGGTGAAGCGGATGGTGGAGGAGTACCGCAGGCCGGTGGTGGTCATGGAGGGCGCGAGCTTGACCATCGCCCAGGTCGCGGCCGTGGCCGCGTCCGGCGGGGCCAGGGTGGAGCTCGACGAGTCCGCGCGCGGCCGCGTCAAGGAGAGCAACGACTGGGTCATGGCCAGCATGGCCAACGGCACCGACAGCTACGGCGTCACCACCGGCTTCGGCGCCACCTCCCATCGGAGGACCAAGGAGGGCGGCGCCCTGCAGAGGGAGCTCATCCGGTTCCTTAACGCCGGGGCTTTCGGCACCGGCAGCGACGGCCACGTGCTGCCCGCGGCCACCACGCGCGCGGCGATGCTTGTCCGCGTCAACACCCTGCTCCAGGGGTACTCCGGCATCCGCTTTGAGATACTCGAGACGATCGCCATGCTGCTCAACGCCAATGTGACGCCGTGCCTGCCGCTCCGGGGCACCATCACCGCTTCTGGCGATCTCGTCCCTCTCTCCTACATCGCCGGACTTGTCACTGGCCGCCCAAATGCCGTGGCTGTGGCTCCTGATGGCACCAAAGTTAACGCCGCTGAGGCTTTTAAGATCGCCGGCATCCAGCATGGTTTCTTCGAGCTGCAGCCCAAGGAAGGCCTTGCTATGGTTAATGGCACGGCGGTGGGCTCTGGGCTCGCGTCGATTGTTCTCTTTGAAGCCAACATCCTTGGTGTCCTTGCTGAAGTTTTGTCGGCCGTGTTCTGCGAGGTGATGAATGGCAAGCCAGAGTACACCGACCACCTGACTCACAAGTTAAAGCACCACCCCGGACAGATCGAGGCCGCGGCTATCATGGAGCACATCCTGGAGGGCAGCTCCTACATGATGCTTGCGAAGAAACTTGGTGAACTCGACCCATTGATGAAGCCAAAGCAAGATAGATATGCTCTCCGCACGTCGCCGCAATGGCTTGGCCCACAAATTGAGGTCATTCGTGCAGCGACAAAGTCGATCGAGCGCGAGATCAACTCCGTCAATGACAACCCACTCATTGACGTATCTCGTGGAAAGGCAATACATGGTGGCAACTTCCAGGGCACGCCCATTGGTGTGTCGATGGACAACACGAGGCTTGCCATTGCAGCGATCGGCAAGCTCATGTTTGCCCAGTTCTCGGAGCTAGTGAACGACTTCTACAACAATGGCTTGCCCTCCAACCTCTCTGGTGGCCGCAACCCAAGCCTGGACTATGGCTTCAAGGGTGCCGAGATCGCCATGGCGTCATACTGCTCGGAGCTCCAATTCTTGGGCAACCCTGTCACCAACCATGTCCAGAGCGCGGAGCAGCACAACCAAGATGTTAACTCCCTCGGATTAATCTCGTCTCGGAAGACTGCCGAGGCCACATTCTGAAGCTCATGTCCTCTACGTTTCTGGTTGCGTTGTGCCAAGCCATGGACCTGCGCCACCTTGAAGAGAATGTCAAGAACGCCGTCAAGAATTGTGTCACAAGAGTAGCCAGGAAGACCCTGATCACAAATGACATGGGTGGCCTCCACAACGCTCGTTTTTGTGAGATGGACTTGCTTCAGACAATCGACCGGGAGGCGGTGTTTGCATACGCAGACGACCCTTGCAGCGCCAACTACCCTCTCATGAAGAAGATGCGTGCGGTGCTGGTGGAGCACGCCTTGGCCAACGGCGAGGCTGAGCGCAACGCGGAAACCTCAGTGTTTGCCAAGGTTGCTACATTCGAGCAGGAGCTCTGCGCGGCACTGCCTCAGGAGGTCGAGGCTGCTAGAGGTGCAGTGGAGAATGGCACCGCCGCAGAACCGAACCGTATCGCTGACTGCCGGTCATACCCTCTGTACCGGTTCGTGCGCAAGGAGTTAGGGACGGTGTACTTGACCGGAGAGAAGACACGGTCACCTGGGGAGGAGGTGGACAAAGTGTTCATTGCCATGAACCAGGGAAAGCACATCGACGCTCTGCTGGAGTGCCTGAAGGAGTGGAACGGCGAGCCTCTGCCTATCTGCTAATCAGGAGATGAAGAGAAGATGCCCTGCTTCAGAATTTCTGAAAACTGATAATACTGTTGTTTGATTTTATTTTATGTTTCAACTTCTGAAGCGTTGATGCATGCAACGTTCTTCCAGAGCTAGAGCGTAAGCATATGCTGATGTAAGTGAAAGGGTATAAATTTTCATGACAAATGTTCAATTTGTTCAAATGAATCCATAGAAGGCGGTCTACTGCTGTATTGACAAGTACTATAAATTATAATAGTTACCACATTGCATTGCAATATAAAGAGAAACAACACCAGGTTCCGATTGGCATCAAATATTTATATTACTCCCTCTAATCCATATTACGATTATAATAGAGTATTCAAAATGTATACCATAAAGTATACACCAAGATACTATGATGAGTTGTAAGATACATCAAAGTAGAAATCATTCTGAAGTATGGAAATGCTAAATCATTTTACTGCAAACATCCAGCGACAGGAAGTATATGCTTTGCATCACATTGCTTGGTCTCAGCAAACATCCGCCCTCAAATATCTCATTGCAAGTATGGCTGCTATGGTTCTATTGTATAGGTAGAATTTTGGTCCTTAGGTCAACACGATATACTCAAAGCATGAAGATGTCTCAGATGCACAGTCTGACCCTCATGGAGTGAAGAACAACTATCCTGACTGAAGAAAATTCAATGTCCAACACTATGTATCTCATATGTGTCATTGGTGTCCTGATGTCTAGCAATCAAAACATATGACAAAGACAAACAGAACTGTGTTTGCATTGAAACATGAACACATTTTTTAGCAGAAGGGCTTACACTTAAGAGTTGGCAGAATACCTGGCCCATCTTGGAAATTGGACCTTCACTTCAATCTTGTTCAAGCACCTCCTTCTTGACTAGATTTTTCTTAAAACAAAAGGCAGTAGGAAAAACAGAGACCAGTCCCTTACAGTCATACAGCCATAGCCATACAGTCGAACAACATACTAAGCAGATACTTACAAATAAGGGGCTGTTTGGTTCCAATAAGTCACCTGACTTATAAGTCAGGTGGCTTAAAACCAGTGACTTATAAGTCATGCCTGTTTGGTTGTCACCTGACTTATAAGTCACCTGAGCACACCTTCCCACCTTGTTTTTTATGTAAAGGTGGTGGGACTCATGCAAAAAGGGGCGACTTATAAGTTTTAAGTTGAGGTGGAGCAACTTATGACTTATAAGTTGGGGTGACTTATAAGTTAGGTCCGTTTAGCAAAATAAGTCACTTTTTACACTTTTCGACTTATAAGTTGGTGACTTATTTGGAACCAAACAGGGCCTAAGTACAAAAAGATAAGACCAATGAAATTAAGGATTATTATCTCACATCCTATAAGGCCATCAATGCAAGTTTTTCTACGGCAGTAACAAAGGATTAACTTTCGTTTTAATCAAATTTAGGGCTTCTTTGTTTTGCAGGATTTGAAAACACACAAGAATAGGAAAAACATAGGAATTGAATGTCATGGCGTGTCGAACCCTATAGTAGTTAAAACTCATGAATGTGTAATAGAAGTTGTTTGGTTGAACCACAAGAAAAACACATGAACTTTCTTGAATGATTAGGTCATTGTCATAGTCATCATAGAAACAAAACCTTTTTCCATGAGGTTGGGCTCAATAGAAAAGTTCCTGTGAAATTGCATGAAAAGTTGTCCATATGAAAAAAAATCCAAGTACTCTAATTCTATAAATGAAACAAGAGCTATAGGAGGGTAATCCAAAGTAGAATCCACCAAAATACCTTTAGAATAAAAAAAAGCACTTATTTGTATTGATGAAATCTTACTATTTTTATGAAAGGAACAATATATCCATCTGTATCGACGATTCAATTTATAAAAAAAAACTTCTTCATGGTCAATTGAAAGCAGCATCATGAAAACGGCCGCATGTTGCGCAATCTACAAAAACATAAGCAAGTCACCGGAGCGTATCACCTTACTTATCCTCTTGCTGCAATTCCAAATTTCCATGGACATATTTTCATCTCACACCCTATTTGACAGCTCTAGTAGCACTAGTTCTAAGGAAAACAACCAAGTAGGACAATGTCCAGTATTCAACAAGATTTAAAATAGCTCTGATCAAAGAGCATCACAAGAAATTGTCCATGGTTTTGAAGGCATCACCCATATATCTTCCTTCAAAGAATCAAGAGTCTGCAGTACATTAACCAATTCAGGGTGAGACTGATCAGCCATTAGAAATACATGAACTCCATCATGCAACTCGACCCAACTACATCCAGGCTCTTTCTTCACCCACTCTCTGTTCATGTTCTCCTTGATCATCCATGTCTCATGCCAATCGCCCTCCGATGCATGTATACTTGATAAAGCAACCCAGTTACTGTGGTTCTCTGGATCAAGCTCGAGTAGACGGGACGCTCCAAGCTGACCTAACTTAGCATTCCCATAGATTCGACAGGAATTAAGTAGCGCACTCCAAGCAGCAATGCTCGACTCAAACGGCATACTCTCAATGAATTCAAGAGCATCTTCTAGGTGACCTCTCCTGCAAATTAGATCTGCCATACAACCGTAGTGCTCAGGCTGCAACTTAACCGAGCTTTGGCCATCAAACAGAAACTTGAAGTAGTGCCAACCTTCTCGAACTAGTCCGCCATGGCTACAAGCTGACAACACCGCAAGGTATGCTACTCCATCTCTTTTGATGCCCAATCGTGCCATCCTATCAAACAAGCATACCGCGTCTTGTGCACGACCAAACCTGCCATAAGCTGAGATCATCGTAGTCCATAAAACAGCATCTAATGAAGGTGTCCCATTGAAGACAAGCTCTGCTGAATCAACACATCCACACTTTGCATACATATCCAGCAAGGAATTCCTTACAACCACATCAGAATCAAATCCTGCACCAAGAACCCGTGCATGCACCTGCATCCCCTGTTTTAACAACGCCAGCTCCCCACACGCATCCACAATTATGGCATACGAGAAGCCATCTGCGCCAACCTCACAAGAAACCATTGACACAAACAAGCCCAGAGCCTCCTCAGCTTGCCCACTCCCGAGATACCCGGCCATCATCGAGTTCCACGCAACAATGTCCCTCGCCACCATCACCCCAAACACTCTCCTCGCATAGTCAACATTCCGGCACCTCGCGTACATGTCAAGAACCCCGTTCTCCACAACCGAATCGACCGGGCCGTACATACTCATCTTCACAACCCTGGCATGAATTTCCTTCCCGGTAGCAAGGGCGGCCTGGCCAACCCCGGCACACGCGAGCAACCCACCGGACAGTGTGTACCCGTTGGGAGCAACACCAGATTCCACCATGCGCCGCAGAAGTGCGAGAGAGTCTCCGTGCAGACCCTGGTGAGCGTGGCCGGTGATGAGGGACGTCCAGGAGACCACGTCCCGTCTGGGCATTTCATCGAACAGAGCACGGGCGTAACCAGGGAGCCCGCACCGGAGTGCCAGATGCGCGAGTGAGGTAGCTAGGATGGCGGACGCCGACAGACCGAGCTTGAGGAGGACAGCGTGGAGGGGTTTGACATGGGGAGTGGAACGGCAAGTGGCGGCGGATTTGAGGGCGCCGGCGAGGGAGGTGGCGTCCCACTCCCACATCGGACACGCCACACGACGTACAGGCTGTCTCGCGGGAACGGTGGGGGAAAGCTTTTTGCTGGGCTAAATTGGAGACAATTACTTTTTTTAGGGGTGGGGGCAATTACTTTAGGCCTTTGAAGTCTGTTCCTGAGCTCAATAGGCTCAGCACACTTCGAGAAAACCAGGTAATTCTTTTCTCACCGATTGTAGGAACCTTCTTCCACTGGTTTTTCCTGGAGCGGTATTTCCCTGCTTTTTTCCAGGACGAATTTTGTTCCATTTTTTTCCTTTTAAAAGAAATCACAGAACTTTTCAAATTCATAAACCTTTCTCAAATTCACGCATTTTTTAAATTTCCTAGAGTTTTAAACTTTACAGATTTTTTTTAAAAAGTAATTCTTTTTCAAAAAAATCCAATCAGAAACTTTTCCAAAACCCATGATTTCTTTTTTGAAATCCGTGAAACTTTTAGTGAATCCATGATTTTTTTCCAAATCCATGAACATTTTAAAATACACAAAGTTTCTTAAGATGTTTTTCTTAAAAATGCACCAAATTTTTTCAAATCTACTACCTCTGTCCCAAAATATAAGAACGTTTTTGACACTAGTATAGTGTTAAAAACGTTCTTATATTTTGGGACGGAGGGAGTATGATTTTTTAGTGCCCATGAACTTTTCTCCAAAACAGTGTTTTTTTCTAAAATAATGAACTTTTTCATATAAGTGAACTTTTTTAGAACTGCTTTCCAACCCACGATTTTGTTTTCCAAATCTTAAGTTTTTCCCAAATATAAGATTTTATATATCATTTTTAAAGAGTCAACGGTCAATCAGTCAAATTGGTCAACCAGTCCACCTGTGAA